TTGATGATGGTGTCAATGATAATGCGATTGTTTGTGGAATATTAGTTGAAGGCAAGTAGTCTATTATTGCTTTAAATGACTAAAAACTTTACACTAATAAATTCCGATGTCATTATAGGTTTCAAATGTACTTTCTACATTATGGATCTTCAATACGATGCTCTATATCGAATGATCCAACTAGGTGTCTTCTACCTGCCTAGAGATAGGCATGATTTTAGTGTTATTAATGATGCTTTGGAAGTACTCCTTCATGCACAAGTAAGCGTTCAATTACTTACATTATCTATCTAAAGCAGTATATAATTAAAATTTTCATAATATTATTGTTAATAGGATATCGTTAAACAATCAGCCACCTATTGTCTTGCTCACTTTCGTGGGCAACAATCTTTTTCCTAGTTATCACTAAATCGTAAATTAATGAAAAGGCACTCATTTCATACGCCCATGAAGGTTTCTCCTCAAAGTGTAAGTTTCGTTCTTAGGTTATTTTTCTAATTACAAAGTAAAGAAACTAACATCAATTTCTTTACAAGTGGGAAGCTTTAACTCATTTAGAAGACCAGTTCAAGTCACCCTCTGTACGAGAACAGAGAAAAAAAGTTAATGAGCAAGCTAAATCCTAATTAATATTCTATTTACTTTGAAGCTAGTATAATTAGTTCACCCTAAAAAGATTTTCGAAACTTAATTTCTAAATATATGCGTGAATTACCATTATAAAAATAAAGTTACATGTTGTAATTTCTAGTTTTTTTTTCATATTATACTAATGTTTCTTGATCGATCCAGCCTTTGAAGTATTCTTTGACATGTACGACAGTACTGATTTGACCGTATCGGTGCTCAACTATACGATATAAGGATTGGCGTACTGCAGTATAAACTATAAAGTGCATTAGAGCTTGCAAACTGACACCTATTTTCATCCAGGATTTTGAGATCATATTAGCATTACGGAAAGCACAAGATAAATGGGGTACTAAGGTTAATGCTGTTAATTCGAGTCAGTGAGATGGAACCGCCATATAATGGTCTAGGGGCCGGCGGAAAGCATGATATTATTTCATTTCGTGCTTTTATTCCTCTCTTTAAACGTGATCTACTCCAACATCTTTTATTAGTTTCATTTTTACTTAGTCGGCCGGCCCCTTTCACATATTATTTACAAAAATACAATAAAGATTTTACTTTGAGTTTTTTAAGCGTGTTTCGTGTTTTTACAAGTGATATAATATTTATTAATATTTATTTGCTTTCATATTCTACATGATTTACGCTATGAAAAATATAAAATGTACTAAATTATTAAAAATGCCTATACTAATGAAAAATCTTATTCCTGTTGCTCGTCTGATCCTTTACCATAATTGATGGTAACATTGATCACATTCGCATTTTGCGAAAAAGAAGGGGTACTTGGGGTTACGGGTCTGAAGGTGTTAGGTGTTTCAACTGATGGTGTCACCGGTCTTAACGCTGAAGGAATAAATCCATAATATCCGATGTTCTAGTGTTTGATGAGCGAAATGATGAACTTGTCCCACTTTTTCTTCTAATACTCTCGTTATGTTGTTGATCGAAGGATAGTTCTGGTAAATTAGATTGTGTTAATAAACAGACACGAAAAAATATCTTCTACAGAAACATACCAGGCTTTAACCAGAACAACGTTGAAAACTCTTTGTATATTTTCTCCCCAACAAAGCTCTTCTTGACCCCGGTACCTTCTCTGTATCTTTTTGTCATCTAAAAAATAGTAAGTATATTAATCCTAGAATTCACGTAAAACCCAAGTAGGAATACTTACATTAAAAGCTTTCATGAGATTTAAGAACTTCTTGTGGCAGTCCTCACCCAGGAAATAGTTAGTATTTTCCTGTTCGTTCAACTTATTAGCAACATCGTCTCAGAAAGCTCGTTTCTTCTTATTTGGGGTTGCATGGTATTCAGCGTTTCTCTGTTTACGTTCGTTAATAAGAAGGCGAAGCTGAGTGTCAGACCACTCAGTAGAAGAAGACATATTTACATTGGTGAGAGGTTTCTCAAAGGAATGGAAGCCTGTTTTATGGAAAAATATCGAGTGATGTGTTTAGATCATTACGAGACAAAATAATTGATTAATGTAATGATTTAATCAAATAATAATAGTGGCTTAGCCATTATTTTCAAATCCACATGATATGCCAATCACCCGTGATTTGAGAAACCACTCAACGCCATGAAAGTGCTAGAGAAGTGTCGTAAAACTGTCGTAAACTGATAGGGATTTAGGGGAATACCATGTGATAAAAATTTATAATTTAGTCGTCCACAATGATTGGGTCTAATTTAACCGAATCATATGAATCTGTTTCACTAAAACAATCGAATAAAAATGAATGTGATATTTTATTATAATATACTTGCTATAAATTGCTAAAAATGCTATAAATCACTAAACAGTTATAAATTACTAAAATCAGTTATAAACTATAAAAATGGTTAAAACTAACTATTCTGGTTTAAATCCTATAGTAGTGCAAGCGTTAAATAATCTGCAATATAGGTATAATGATGAAACACCAGAAATGTAGTGTTCTCGTATTCGTTATCCATTCAAGAAACTTCTTGAATATAACCCAAAATACTTCTCGAAGAATGGGTTTATCCAGATGATTGAAAGATCATATATAGATGAGGAATTTAAAGCTGGGAGACGCTTATTTAATATTTATTGCATTATATGCGACTCCTTAGTAATTATCCGTGAAAATACCATTGAATGTGGCAATGATCATCTGAAAAAATGTATTGCCAAAAGGCGCCTTATATATTCTAAACCTGTACAGAAAAATATGAAAAAAAGAAGAGTGGATTCCTTCAGTATCACGCTAAGCTGAAAGAGTGTATTATCGTTTAGTTCTAATAAGATAGATGAGATTTATCGAACATATTATTTTACATTAAGTAATTACTGGACTAAATATAGTTATCACTGTTCACCTGAAGATAGGAAAAGGGTTGTAAATAATTTAATCGAAAGTGCAAAAGTTGTCCAACGGGTTTGGAGAGCTTTCAAGTTAAGACCTGAAATATAGGCGAAACGAGTTTGGAATATGGTAAGAAATGATGGTATTCCTGACAAGAAGAAGTTTTTAGGTATAACTCCTCGTAAAATAAGAGTTCCTGATGATTGATATATAGACTATATATGGGATCCCAGTTATTTTCTGACAGGAATTAATTATGGAGATAAAATTCAAGCTAAAGATATGCCTGCACATTATCAGAATCTTCCTATATTATACGATCATTATACTTCAAAAAGCTGGGTAGAAAGAAAGAAAGAACAGTTATGGGGATAATTAAATAGTGTAATATAGTACAATATATTGCAAGTATGTGCAACAAATTTTTCAGACTATAGATTCTTTATTATTACATATTCATATTTTTTTGCACCATATAATCTGCATG